TGCAGTGATAGCTTTCCATATCAAGACTGGAAGGAGCTGCTGTTAAAGGCTAACACAATAATCCCACCATTCTCCTCCATCTGCCCAACATCACTCTGGTTAACTGCCAGAGCAGTCCCTAGAATAGCACTAATAACCATTTAAAATAAAAACAGGAAAAAAAAAAAACCAACCTGAAACTGCTTCGGGTAAGAATTGTTTATTCTCCTTGTATGGACAGAAGACTACTTTGGTAAACATTTTCGGTTTTATTTGCATACATTTTTTTAAAAATTTCTTTAAGACAGCAGCACAAGCACAATGGTACCCTCTATCCATTACCCTCAATCACGTTTAAAAGTAATAATAAAAACAGCAACAGAAACCATTTCAAATTGTACCTCTTGAGCCCGCAGAACAGCACTCTTCCATGACAACTGCTCTGAAAAACACACTGCCATTATTTGCAGAAGCAGTAGGAAGTCCAGTCTTGTCCTTGGTTCAGCACTCCCCCTTCCTCTCTCTCCAAGAAAAAATGAAACAGCAGGAAACGTAAACAACCACTTAATGGAAAATACAAATGGGTAAATATTTTCCAAACTGGCTAAAAAGCCTCAGGTCCTAAGAAATTCAGGAATGCTAGTGTAGAGAGAGATAGGAAGAGAAAAAAAATAGCATCGAATTTCCCCCTCAAAATGAGCACTATATGGATGCAAGGGCAAATGTGGCACACAGCTACTTTCTCTCCTTCGCTTACCAGATGCTTCTGTCTTTTCAATGATTTCTTTCTCATTGTCTTTCCATAAATAATGGTATTTTTCAAACTGTTTATTCTGTACACATTTCTCTACACCCATAACAAATTTTACAATTTTGAGCTGAACTCTCTGGTTCAACTGAGCTTGGTAATGAAGAGGCAGAGCTAAGTCCCTTCCCATGAGAAGTTCACAAGGAGAAAACTCTTGCAGAGCGCCAGGACCGACAATGACCAGCCCCATCTGCAGAGCCTGTGATGAGTATGGACGGGGAACAGCTGGAACAAGAGTTCCAAAGCCGCAGGGCCATGCTAGTTCAGAGAGCACCTTTATGAGGATCAGAAAAGGGTGTCCAACTAACGGGACACAGTTCCACACAAGGTGTGCATCTGGTAAGTGGAGCACAAAATGGGTTTGTACTCCCACTTGAGAAACAAAACAAGTGCCCCGGGCTGAGCATAAGTTATACAACCCTGTATCAGCAGCCCTACAAAAGTGTACCTGGGGCAAAACCGCACCTCCAAAACAGGCTTCCAGAAAGAACCTCACCAATGGCAAACAGGCATTTCACATATTTCATCACCAGAAATCCTCACACGTGAATATAAATTCATTCATAAACATATTAGGACTAGAGGAAAAGGGTCTAGAAAGAAGGAAAAGTAGCAGATTTGGGAGGAAGGAAACTCTTCTGTCCAGGGCAATAGTGAGTTGTTCCTTTGACTACAGCTTCAAATAACTGAACTTCAAATGCACGTGCTAAGTTAAAACACTCAACCACTATCATCTACAGAGAAAGGCAAGATCACATACATTTACCTCTGGGGGTTTACTTTCTCCAATTTGCTAGTTTTCCTTCTTAGTCAGACACTATTTTGCCTCTACACTAACTATAAAACTATATATAGTGATACATGTGGTTAAAGTTGTAAAACCCGATAAAGAGCCCTAGTAGGCGGTGGGCCTCTTGGATACCTGCATGAAAGCAAGAGGAATAGACACCCCAGGTCATGAAGGGTTTGACATCCAATGGCTTCCAACCCTCTCATTCTTTTATGCCTTGCAAAAGAGCTAAATATCTCATGGGTCCCAATCAGCCCCAGTCACGCAGGAGCAGCAACAGAAGGCCGTCCAGGGGACAGGCAGGCAAGCTGAGAGGCCCACAGCCCAGAGCCGGAAGAAACCTAAGGCGGTGGGCTCAAACCCCAGCGCACATCACAATCTACAAGGGGACGCGCTCAGAGCCACATTTCTGGGTCCCTTCCTACATCTGATGGATGAAAATGTCCTGGCGCACTCATATTTTGACAAAGCTCAAAAACTGCTGACCTAGGTCTACCAGAAAGTTTAGAAAGACTGGGAAATCCTCCATGTGCCTTATCAGCTGTTCCAAAATAAAAGTCATCCATCACAAAACTAGGCTTTGCAGGTCAAAAAGGGGTGAGAAAAAGATCACCAGCCAGCATGCCTAACGGGCTGTGCAGGGCTGGAGCCTGCAGCCAGACTTTCATTATTACGGCACAAAACCCCTGTGCTGTGTAAACAAGAAATTGTTTTGCATGTGAGAAATATTTCAAACATCTGAAAAATATTTAAAATAATATAATGAATATCCCTGTACCCTACATTAAAGATAAGCAAATCTTAATTTGCAATTGTCTGATTCAGATTTAATAATAGAATACTAGATATAATTAAAGCCCTCTGTGTGTCCCTCTGTGTACCCCTGACCAATTCCATTCCTCATCCACTCTTAACGAGATAACCACTTCTCTGAATTTGGTGTTGCTACCATAAATGTTTTTATACTATTACTACATATGTACACACATACAGGGGGGTTCCCAGGTGGCTCAGTGATAAAGAATCCGCTTGCCAACGCAAAAGACACGGGTTTGATTCTTGGGTCGGGAAGATGCCCTGGAGGAGGACATGGCAACTCACTCCAGTATTCCTCCCATGGACACAGCAGCCTGGCAGGCTGGCTGCTGTGTCCATGGGGTCGCAGAGTTGGACACGGCTGAGCACACACAAACACAGAAAATATTATTGTGCATGTTTTCAGATTTTATGCAAATGAAAACATTCTCTAATAACTCTTCTGTTACTTGCTCGCCCACCCCATATTATGTTAAGATTCAACCATTTTAATGCATGCTACAGTTTAATGCAGGCTACAGTTTATTTTTCACAGTGCTATAATACTCAATTGTGTGGGACAATCTAACAATTTATGCATTTCCCTGTTGGTGGACATTTAAGCAGCAATGAACATTCTTGTACTTATTTTCTTGGACAAGTGTGCAAAGATTTCTTAAAGTACATTCCCAGAAATGGGCATTTTAGGTAAATAGGTTTGTCTGCCCTCCTTCAACCGACATCATGTTACTCTCCATGATGGCTGTATCCATTTACATTCCCACTAGCAGTATATAGATGATTTCCTCATAACCTCATTAATACTTGATTATCACAGCATTTAATTTTTGCCAATCTGATAAGTGTGAAATGGCATCTCAATGATGTTTCAATTTGCATTTCCCTGATTTTAAGTTTTTCACAAGTAAATTTTCATGCTTTTATGTGTATCTGTCAAATAGGTTTTTCTCAGTTTTCTAAAAAATGTAACCACCTTATCTGAATCAGGGGAGCCGTTCCCAAAGAACCTTGCCAACGGCCACAACTGGAGAGCTGAGGTGCAGGAGTGCAGCAAGGAAACAGCAGACTTAAACAAGGAACCATCCTGGACAAAGGGCCCTGATTAATGCATTTGCTAATTAGTCGTTCCCTTCCTCTTTTGTCAAGCCTTACTTCCAAGACAATACTACAGGCCTGCCTCAGAAGCCGACAGAGAATGGGGGTGGGGAGAAGACCAGCTAAAACATTTATGTAAAAGTACTTACAACAGTCTTGACTCAAAAGAAAATGAAGTGATTGCCGACCAATACCTACTACTCAACCCTGTAAGACACCATCCTCCTCTAACAGACTCCTTTCAAGCTCTGTACCTTTGGCTCCCTCTCTGAAACAGTCCAATCTTTTCCTCTACACCAGACACTGTCTCCCCTCCCTTCAGCAACCCTTTCATCTCCCTTCCCCCACAATGACAAAAATACCCTCTCCTTTCCCCCCTTCCGATGCTTCTATTTTCTCGCTCCACGGGACCCTCCTCTTTGTCACCTCCAGAACCCCAAGTTCCTTTCCAAGATGTATCTACAATAAAAACAACCCACTCGAAAGAAAAACGGGAACCCCAAGGGGTACATGGCCCTCTTCCATAGCAGGCAGGCGGGTGTGACCAGTCCCGATCCTCTCACTCCTTCCCCTTCCCATGCCCAGGACAGCTGTTCTTTCTTTGAGGGTTACCCAAGTCTGACAAGTCCAGCCCACCAGGGAAAACCTCGCTTGGTTTTCTGTAGCAGAAACGCCTTTACGACGGTCATATGTACACTTGCTTGGGGCATGAACGAAACTCGGGCCATTTCGTGGAAAAAAGACACCTCACGAGCGTCTCCACAAAAGCAAGCAGGCCTCCCTCCTATTAATTCCAGCTGGATTGGTTTAATCCGTGCAGTGGTGGGGAAGGTGGCCTGGCAGAGACCAAATGGTCCCCGCGATTAGAAGTTTCGGAAGCTCTGACCCACTCACTTAAGAAAGCCCTCTTCCCCGAGAGGACAACCTCATAGGAGTCTCTCCTCCAGCGGATCCCCAAATCGACTCCCCAGCACACCACCAAGCCCCCCAATCCGCCGCCGCTCCGCCGTCCCAGCCCGCAACAGATGCTTCCTCCTAAACCAGCCCCAGAGCGCCGGGTGGGCGTGCCTGGGGACGAGCCTAGCGCCCCCTCCTCCGCGATCAATCTCAGTTCTTCGGGGCTGGGGGCTCTTCCTCCTTCCAGCGCCCCCTACTAGGGGCCCGGGCCAGCCCACGACTCTCGCGGGCTATGTGACCTTGGGCAAGTCACTTCCCCCAGTAAGCCTCAGTTTCCTCCTCCGCCCAGCGGAGACCTGGAGAGGTCCTGCCCTGCCCACTCTTGGGGGCGGGGGGGTGGGGGCGGTTAGCAACCCGGTGGAAAAACGCTTTGTGAGCCGCTCGGCACAGCGAGGACGCAGGACTCCCAGGGGCTCCGGGGCCGGACAAACCCGACCCGGACAACGCTCCACCCCCTCCGTGGGGCCGGGCGGCTGGACCGCACGCCTCTGCCCACCCCCATCCCCGGGATCAACCCACGCCCCTCCCCGCCTGGCCCGCTCCTGGACCCCGTACCTGCTCCCGGCGCTCGGCCGCAGGCGCCGCCACCCTGGGCTCCCGGCCGGAGAGGCCCGTGGCCCGGAGGACTGAGGCGGCCGGCGGCAGGGGGCTCGAGCCGGGGCGGCGGGGCGCGCAGGCGGCGCGGGGGCCCGAGCTCGGCGGGGCCCGGCCTGGGAGACGACGACTGAGGCTGGAAGTGCGCGGCGGCCGCGGCTGCTGAGGCGGCGGCGGCGGCGACCGCGGCGGCGGCGCTTCCGCTCATGGCGGGGCCGCGGGCAGCGGCTCCGGCTGCGACTCGACTCCGGCGCGGCGGGCACTGGCTGGGCCCCGGCCGGCAGCGGCAGTGGCGGCGGCGGCGACAGAGGCGGCTCCCGGAGGGGGAGGAGGAGGAGCCGGGAAGCGGCAGCGGCGGCGGAGGGGGCGGGGACGCGGAGGGGGGCGGGGACGCAGCGCTGCAGCCGCCAATGGGCGGCGGGCTCCTCCGCAGACCGAGGCTCCGGGGCTGGGCGGGCCGCGCCGTGGGGCATCCTCTGCCGCTGCCGCTCGCTGAGGCTGGGAGGCTGAGGGCCGCCTGCCGGGAGAGCCCAGCTTCGGGGGCTGCTCCGCCCCCGGTCCGCCTCCGGGGCGCGGCCGCGGGCCTCCGGGGCCAGGCCTCTAGCGACCCAGGCCCGGGTGCACCTGGGCTCCGTCGCGGCTGCCTCTGGCGCCGGCGTTGGCTCCTGCGAGTTCGCCCGGGGCTTGGCCCGGGTAGCTGCTGCCCGCCAGCGCGCCCGCCCTCAGGCTCCCATTCCATGGGTTGTGCCGCCTTGGCCTCCTTCCTCCACCTCTTCCCACACTAGAGCACAGCCGCCTCTCCTCTCTCTCTCTTGGCTGTTTTCTCAAAGTTTTTCCTTTTCAGACACTTAGGACAGAAACTCTCCCTTCCCTTCTTGGGCTGTATCTCAGTGATGAATCAATCCCTGCGGACCCAGAGAGAGGAGCAGAAGCAGAAACGAAACGGATGGAGGTGTGCTGCCTTCTTTGAATCTAGAGACCCATCTTGAATTATGAGCAGAAGCCAAAAATCTGGCTCAGCGCTGGCCCCTCGCCCCTTTTCTGACTTTCTCTTCCTCTTTCCTACTTTAAACGCCCTTGTTGTTAAAAGATTTGCAGGAAGCCATCCAACTCGGCTGGGCCTAGTCTCAAAAGAAGGAGAGGCTGTGGGGTGCAGAAAGGCTTTTGAGTTGTGCTGAGAGCTTTTTTATTAGAGAAGAATTCCGCAGATTCATGCCCCCCTTGCTCCTTCCTCTTCTGGGATGTGATGTTAGTTACTGAACCCACTTTCCTTTCATGTTTCTCTGACTCTCATATCAAAGCCATAGGGGAGCAAAATAATCTCAGTCATGTACTGGGAGTGCCTCTAAGTACAGCCATGAGGGTGAGGGTGCAGCTGAACTGCTGAATAGATAATTTCCGTATTGTCCTCAGCCTTTCCTCACATGGAGCCGCCAACTGGGGACTGAGCTGGGAGAGAGAGAGCTGCAGGTCGACAAGGCACAGTGCTACAGTGGCTGCTGGTTGGGTGGGAGAAGTGCAGGTGAATCTTTGGCAACAGACATTTCGAGTTCCACCCTAACACTTAATGAAGTGCATGATCTTTTCATTTACACAGTCATGACCAATGCTAGACTCTAAAGACATAAAGATAAAGATACAGTCCAGGCCTATAAAGAGTTTACAGTCTCCTTGGAGGTTGGTGAGACACATTCTTAGAAGTAAACGGGGTTAAGGATGAGTAGGAGTTTACCAGGTGGAGCAGATTGTGGGAAAGTGACCTGGGAAGACGGTAAAGTTACAGTTAGCTAAAGGACCTGGTATTGTCTGAATCCCACCCTTGACTTTCTGGTCATAGAGGAGGCAGGTAACATATTACTAGCTGGGTTTGGTCCCAGTGTCTGCTGTAGAATGCCCGTAAGCTAATATCATTCTTATCACTCTCTCTCTCTCTTTTTTTTTTTTTACTGTTTATTTATTTGGCTGCATCGGGTCTTAGTTACCGCATGTGGGGTCTTTGGATCTTGCGTTGTGCCACATGGACTCTAGTTGTGACGTGGGGGCTCAGTGGTTGTGGCACCTGGGGTTAGTTGTTCCAAGGCACGTGGGATCTTAGTTTCCCAATGGGGGGACTGATTCTTAGCCAATGGACCTCCAGGGAAGCCCCTCTTATCACCTTTGATAGATCTCACAGCCTTGCATGAAATCAGGCCTATTTCCACTCCAAAGCCCAAGCTCCAGTTTCAACTCTTACAACTTCAGTTTGGTCAAATGTTTTGTACACTATCCCTAGAAGAAAAAAGGCAGGAAAGCAGTTTAACCCAGTAATCAAAGGCGCCCATTGAGGCTTCATTGCAGGCCAGGAAGAAACAAGGGAGAGGGCCAGGCTAGGCCCTGGGCCACCTCATCTTGCCAGTTAAGGGATTCGAAAGAAAGCATGGATGACATCCATGTGTTCCGTGACCTTTATCTCTGAAAATTTCTGTCCTCCAGCAATGATCGGGAAAGGAGATAAGTATGATGTATTCAGGAAACCACAAGTTTAATAGGGCTGGAACACAGCCTGGGTAGAGGGTTGAGAGAGAGAGATCTGGCAAGAGAATTAACAGGAGATCAGAAGACCATAAAAAATCTTGAGTGCATCTGAACTTAACCCAAGTAACTAAAGAGCGCTACTGAAGGGTTTAGTGAGAGTGACACGGTCATATTCAATTTTGGAAAGACTCTGGCTACTGTGTAGAAAATAGGTTGGAAGGGAATAAGAAGAGAGGTGATAAAACCAACTAAAAAGTTATCATAAGGGGGCAGGCCTACATAAAGCAGCCTGGATCCCCCAGTCACAGCACAGAGGCAGCCACCAGGAGAGTCACCAAGCTGAACTGGACTTTATGTGCAAGAGAAGCAAATCCTTATGGTATGGAGTTGCTGAGATTTCAGGGTTTATTTGTTCCTGCAGCAAAGCTGAGCTAATCCTAATACAGGTGGGAAAATACTGGACTAGAACTCAGGAGGCCTGTGTTATAAATACAGTCAGTTCTTCTATTACATGACATACTGCTGCTACTGCTAAGTCACTTCAGTCATGTCCGACTCTGTGCAACCCCATAGACAGCAGACCACCAGGTTCCTCTGTCCCTGGGATTCTCTAGGCAAGAATACTGGAGTGGGTTGCCATTTTCTTCTCCATTACATGACATATGTATTCCTTAAAATCACTACCCTATGTAAAATTACACAATAAAAGCCACAGGACTTATGAAAAGAAATAGATTTAGAAGCATAGCACTCAAAAACCAGTGACATATTAAAAAGCAAATAATGGGAAGCTAAATAAAATAGGAGGTACCTCAGTTTCACACATGTTGAATTGTTAATATATAAATACCACAGTGAACATGACACTTGACCTTGAAAAAGACCTGAAGTTTGCTGGAGAATGGGACTTCAGATGGGCTGCAGATTATGATTATTATGAGTAGTGGAAGGAAGATTATCTGAATTCCTCATCTGGAAAGTTCTACCAGATGTGAGATCAACAAACTACTGCCCCTCAGCCAAATTTGGTCCACTATCCTTTTTAGTAAATAAAGTTTTATTAGAACACACACACACAAAAAAAAGTTATCATATCAGGCAAAAGATGAAAGTGACCCAAACTGAGGCGGAGATGATAGGAATAGAGAGATATTAAGGCGGTAAATTCACCTAGAGATAGATAACTCGAAAAAGGTGAGAGAGGCAGACTCAAAGATGACAGAGATTTTTGGCTTGGTGCCGTTCCTGAAGGTGGGGAATCCTGGATGGGGAACAGAGAACTGTAATCTTGGTTAAATCAGTTTATTTCTCTAACCCTCACTCTCCTATTCATATAAGGCAGAAGGGCTGAGGAAATTATCTAGACTCACTACTATACTATTACTAAAGTCCTTCTAAGATTGGTACCCAGAGATTTACAAAGAGAGGCAAGATAGCAGAATTGTCCTTTTTACTTTTTATTTCCATTTTGTTTTACTGTAGTTAAAAAATATATATGTGTATATATATATGTATATATATAAAACTTTATCATTTTAATAATTTTCAGGTGTACAGTTCAGTGGCATTAGTTACTATTAATATCTTAGTTTGAGCTGCCATTACAAAATGCCACAGGCTCAGGGCTTCCGTGGTGGTCCAGTGGTTAAGAATCCACCTTGGAATAGGAGGGACACCAGTTCGATCCCTGGTCCAGGATCCCACATGCCTTAGAGCAACTAAGTCCCTGAGCCGTAAGTACTGGAGTCGAGCGCCTAGAGCTCATGCTCTGCAACGAGAGAAGCCACCACGATGAGAAGCCCAAGCACCGCAACGGAGAGGAGCCCTGCTCTCCGCAACTGGAGAAAGCCCAGATGCAGCAACGGAGACCCACCGTGGCCAAGAACTAACTAAATAAAAATCCTTTAAAAATACCACAGGCTGGTGGTATAAACAACAGAAACTTATTTTCTCACAATTCTGGAGGCTAAACATCCAAGATCAACATGCCATTCTGGTCAGTTTCTGGTGAGAGCTCCCTTCGTACGTAGCTTGTAGATGGCTGACTTCCCCCTGTGTCCTTACATGGTGGGGAGAGAAAGAGAGCAAACTCCCTGTTGTCCCGTCTTCTTGTTGTTATTGGTTAGTCACTCAGTCATGTCCAACTCTTTGCAACCCCATGGACTGTAGCCCGCCAGGTCCCTCTGTCCATGGGATTTCCCAGGCAAGAATACTGGAGTGAGTTGCCATTTCCTCCTCCAGAGGATCTTCCCAACCTAGGGATTGAACCTACACCTCCTGCATTGGCAGGCAGATTCTTTTTTTTTTTTTTCCCAAATGTTTATTGGTGGAGTCTTTTGGCCTTTCTGCTTAAGTTTCTAAATATAGTATCCATCTTGTCTTGTCTTGTCTTAAAGTCGCTCAGTCGTGTCCAACTCTTTGTGACCCCGTGGACTGTAGCCTACCAGGCTCCTCCATCCATGGGATTCTCCAGGCAAGAGTACTGGAGTGGGTTGCCATTTCCTTCTCCTGGATTCTTTTATTATTATTATTTTAATTGAGGGATAATTGCTTTACAGAATTTTGCTGTTTTCTGTCAAACATCAACTTGAATCAGCCATAAGTATACATCTGTCTCCTCCCTCTTGAACCTCCCTCCCATCTCCCTCCCCACCCTCCCCCGCTCCTGGTTGATACGGAGCCCCTCATTGAGTT